GAGAGAGAGAGAGAGAGAGAGAGAGAGAGAGAGAGAGAGAGAGAGAGAGTTAATTCAGAGTAATATTAGCATAATATTGATTAAACAAATGATTTATAAAAGCGGCCAAACTTTACAATCAGCTCATCGTTTGACGTAAATATCGGTCGTTTTGGTCGACGAAGCGCTTCCCAAATCTGATTATCTTTTTCTATCTGTAAGACAAAATAAATATAATTTAAAATTATAGCATACTGTGCGTACCTCTATTTGAAACGAGAACATGGCCAATTCAGCGATCAAACGGTAAAACAAGCCAGGTGGCGCGAAATACAACACGTTTAGCGCAGTTTGATTGGGCCGAATAGGTGTGGCCGCATTCACATTAACGGTGGAAACTGAATCGATATAATTAATGCAATACAACGGGGTATAACAAGTGAACTTAATTAGCCAGCTGAACATGTGGCGACCAAGTAGAAAAAAATTAATCTGTCCATACGCGCCCGTGATTGATTTTGCGCCAGCTACTTTAGCCGGTGTTTGCTTTTCATATGTGCTAGTTACGCCGGGCATAATGTTAGCATGCACCGTAATTAGATGCTCCTCGTCCACCGCGTTTTCCATCACGATCTTAATTGTAAAAGTTACATTAATTACTTTAGGATTTGAGTTATTTTAACATGCTACTTTGTTTTATTTTGTAATAATAGCTTGATAATGAACATGATAATTAGAACTTATTAACTCACCCTACATGTTGTATTATGGATTGACCTGAATGCTTTATACAAAACAAGTTTTTGTTTGCAATCAGCCATGAAATCGTGCGGATAGTGATCGGGTTGAGCGTTATCCTTGTGATACCAAACAAATATCATCATGTTCATTTCAATTGTCTCCCAGTGTTTTACGCTAGCGTTTAATTTGTTCATTTCAGATGCTAATATAAATTTTATAAAATAAATTAAAGTACATATTTTTAATTGTATTAATATTAAATTGTATTAAATATATCATATTAATCATAATTACTCTCAATATTAGGTATGCGTTTGCACTGTCCGTCTGCGCCCCCAAACCTCCAGCCATGGAATGGACACTGAATACAGTCGTCGCCCGACTCTGACT